TATTGAGATGCCCAAAGCCAACTTTGAAAATAAATTAATCATATAATCTGTACTTTTAAGGCTTGTAGTCAAAATGCAGCGAAGTCTGAGAGGGAGGTTTTCGCGACCATATCGTGTGAAATTCTTGATTTGCCCGAAGCTCGGCTAGTCGCTACCCTCGAGTTTATACTCTTTGTAATATGATATCCTATAGCCAGCCAACTTCTTGCGACAACTGGTCGCTTTCAGGTGGCCGAGGAATGGCCAGCGGTCGGCTATAACTAATTGGACTAGGCCGACCACTGGCCACGTATTATTCCTCGCCCCTCATTGAGTTCGCCTTCACCACACCGCCCGTCGTGAACTGACAGTTCAGTAATTTATGACGTCTCTTTCCCCTCATGTATTCCACAACGTCTGCATTTGAGCAGTTAGTATGCGGTATTTCCCCTCCGCGTATCAGCAGGCTCGATCATAACTATTTTTGGTAGATAATCTCTACAACAAGGAGGCTGATCATGGAATGTCGAGTATACCATTCAATGGAGAATTAAAATTACAACCCGTTTACATCTCGAAAAAAGTGAAAAAGTCGCAGACTTGGTGAACAATAATATTCAAAGTTTCTTTAAAATTCCTTTCATTATAATTCTTTTAAAACAAATTTTACATATTTTTTGTTCCTGGCCACCGTTTATAAATAAATAACTGGGTAAACATGGAAAAATCCATATCGCCATCTCATTTAAGAGTGCAGTAAAGTTAAGCCTAATTTGTGAAGAAACTCATAGGGAAGAGCCGAGCCTGTTCGAGGCCTCGCGGTTCTCAATCAGAGCCAAACGATTTGCAAGAAGCTGTGTCTAGCGTTTGCTCGATGTATGCTGACGACACAAAAAACAGAAGGATTACTAGAATTTGAAACAAGAACCAACACCAGGGGCCACGGCTATAAACTAAAAAAACAGCGTTGGAACACATCCATGCGACAACATTTCTTCTCGCTTCGAGGCACCGACATGTGGAACAGCCTCCCTGATAGCATCGTTGACGCTCCGAGTATGAACATCTTCAAAAAAAGACTAGACGAAGCTATGCAGGAGCATATGTTCAGTCTTAAAATGCCCAGCAAATTACGGACCAGGCAATAAGACTAGACGAAGCTATGCAGGAGCATATGTTCAGTCTTAAAATGCCTAGCAAATTACGGCCAGGCAATAAGTTCAGCAGCTATCTCAATCAATCGTCAGCTATGGAAAGATCGGGTTCCAAAGGCCGGATCTCTTGTGAATCAAGTCACGAAAAGTTCAAGAATCGGCAACAGGCCATGGACCTATTTCTTCAACGCAGACAATTCTATTCTATTCAATTCTATTCTATTCTATTCTATATGATATATATAGCATCTAAGTACAGTACAAGTTTTTCACAATAATTGCGGCCGCGGTACTTTAGAAAGTCATAATCAGTACTATAAGAACTGAAATTTTCATATGAAATAGTCGTCAAGCCTAAGTAGTTAGAACTGTTACATTGTTATTGGCTAGCGGCTGGAGCGACAGCCCGGTGCCCTCACTGTTTGGCAAGGAACTTAACTCGTTATTTTGGATATTTACTATTTAATCTTTGAATATTCCTAGTGATAACTTGATGAGTGATATCTGATTGTGTCACCATTAAATTTTTTAACAGTTTGCATTTGATCATTCGTATTTTAATTTGTTTTCAAAAAACCGTTTCTGGAATGATAAATAAATTCAATCGTTGAAATATTTGATGTTGTGCTAAGCGTAAATACTACAGTTTAATTTTATACGAAAGGCGAGAAACAAATTTATGCTAATGTTGGGTGGTCTTTAATACTAGTAATATTGAGCGTCTGTTAGCGGTTATTTGAGACAAAAAACTCTGTCTCAAACTATTTTGAGCCAAAAAGTTTTTGCTATTTGATGAGCAGCTGAGGAAACTCTTGCAATGATTTGTTTTTACGAATACCAATAAACGCTAGTGCCAATTAAAGGCCGTTTTCGCTAGACCCACTAACCAATCGTGCAAGAGGCCGTTTGCGGGAGACCTTATAATTTTTCATACAAGAAACCGTTTGCGGTTGACCTTCTAACCACTCTTGCAAGAGGCCGTTTGTGCAAGACATTCTAAGTTCAAGGAAGAAATTAAAGGAGACCTCAAAAATGAGATAATAGGAGCTGTCTGTAAAAAAGGCTGTCTCCAGACAGCTCCTACAGGCTGTCTGCCTGTAGGAGCTGTCTGTAAAAAAGCCTCCCAGAACAACGCTGAGTTGATAAAGTCGATGGCATTCATTATTATTTTTGGCGAATTAAAAAAAATCAATTACATTGTCTGGCAGCGAACTTTGAGACCTACATTTTAAGGGCAGATCTCTTTGAATTCATAAGTTATATGCGCTCTTCTTCTCGGCCATAATTTCGCAAACAACTCATGAGCTATAGATTGGGTCAGGTATTACATGAATCTATTAGGTTCACATAAACAATTTATGCTGCATGCAGAGAAATTCACACTAGAAGTAAATTCTGTTCAAATTTCCAGTGTGCCACATTACATGGTAGCAACCTCATTTTATATAGGGCGGTATTTATCAGATTATATATACTCCTTGAAATGCGCTTTCTCAATTAAAAACTATAATCGAGATTAATGCAGGCGCAAGTAAGCAGTCCTCCCAACGTCGCTTCACTTAATAATAATCCTGAATTTTAATCCATGTTCGAATCCACGTAAGGAGAGCATGTCGGTCAAAAAAAACTTTTTTTATATACGAGCGGATCATTATGAAACATGGTACACATATGTAAAAAATTTAAGTCAATGACTTCTTTGTTCATGTAAATTTTTCGAAAAAATGAAAGAAAACGTGAAATTCATAGAAAATGACAAAAAAGGGGGTACTGTAGAAATCTATCTCCTCCTACGATTTTCAAGCTACAACATCGAAAGATATATCATTCCATACGTAAAGACCATATCTTGAAATCGTCGTTTCATTTTTTGGAATTTTTTAGTTTTTTATTTAGTTTTATTTTTTACTGATTTTTTTTCGATTTTTACCCCTCCCCTTTTATCTCTCAATGCTGTAGTTTGAAAATCATAAGAAGAGATAGATTTTAAAGATGGCGTATTTTGGAAATTTTAGTTCTTCAGGGTAACCAAATAGGTGAAATTTATTGAAAAAAGGGAATATGCCAAAAAAAGGCTTGATATTGTAGCCCAAGCTTTCCCACTGCAATTAGTTGCCTTTAGGGTACCAGAACGCGTCTTTAGACTTATTTCTGTCAGGTTTAGCGTGAATAATAAGCTGTAAATGTGTATTTTTACATTAATGTAAAATAAAAAAATGTTCATTTTATATAAGTTCAAAATGACCTAACCCCAGAAAAATCTTAATAGTACATATTGTTAAAAAATTTCCATTTTATATTTTTTTGGAATCACTTTACGCAAAAACTAGAGCACGCATATACATGCCGTTTGCTGCGTTAGACGCGCTTTTTCAGAAGCTACAAAGTGAGCCAAGAAACCGAAAAAGCCAAAATTTTCGATTTCTGACCGATATGCTCCTTTTGTGTAGGAGCTGGAAGAAAGATTTATTACGGGCAAGAAAAAATTCATTCCTACGGTCAAAATATAATGTAATTGCCAGCCAGCACTATTTTTCTGAATCACGAGCTGCACTGTACATAAACAAATATCCTACAAAGTCGATCCATATCAATCGGCCGCCATTCCTAACAAAAAATTCTATATATTGCTGCTCGAAAGATATTAGACATTTTTCATACTAAAAAATCCAATATCTGCCTCCTAATGAGACATTCGGCATCGTCCTTCTCAAAAATTATCCGCCATTTTGTTCAGCAATTACAAATTTTTAATAAAAACGTAAGATATTTCTTGCGCTATAGAACTCCAGAAAATTAATTTTTTTTTTCAATATCAGTAGTGAACAAATTTAAGGATTAGCTCACTTCTTCTAAATCAATAAAATTTTTCAGAGAATATTTATTTGATTGTAGGTGCACCGTTTAATATTATTTTTGTGCAATAAATAGGACTTAGCATCAAGAACAATAAATAAATCATTATTACAGTAGAACAAATATGATGTCAGCTCATAGAGAAAAAACATGCTTACAGTCTCATCTGGTAAAACTTTAGATATAAAAGTTGTACAAAACCTGCATCGAATACATTGTAAACCGTTAATAAGTCGAATGAAAAACGAAGTAGTTTTCCATTTTCAACTCTGGAAATAAAAGCAAAGTCATTAGTCAGTCATTAAGTCTCCTACATAAGGTTCACAGATAATCAGGTTTGGAACCACACTGTCATCAAGTCCCTGATGATAAGGTTTGCAGTTCATCAAGCCTTGACCTTCACTGTCATAGAGTGAAAATGTGCACATAGTTCACCATACAGAATAACCACGAAGAATACCTGGAAATTAGTCTCTGGTATCTAACGAAGTTGTATGTTCAGGTTCTAGATGGTGAAAGGAAGGTAAAGTATAACCTTAGCACTGAGTTGAAGAGAAGTTACATTTTAACGTGTGTTAAAATTAATTATCCTTAACAATAGATCAGAATTGTCATCAAAATTACCAGCAGGGGTAAATAAATTCGATAAGCGGTTGAAGGTTTGATTCACTCCATACTGCTAGTCGCGGTCCAGTCAAATATTCTTTAATGTATTTCTTTAGAAGCATTCACTGGTCTATAGCCAGGCAGCATTCACTAGGCACGGTCTAGCCAGGCAGCATTCGCGGGCACGGTCTAGCCAGTATCATGGCAAAATAAATTTTGACGTGGACGTGACTGCCATGTTGCCAGATATTTTTTTGACCAGTATACCAAACTTTCAGCTCAACATACCAGATTTTAGTAACTATACCAGATCAAAAATATCCATACCAGACACCATTTGAACATACCAAATTTCTTAAGGCCTCAGCTGGGCAGAATTACCAGTACATTGACAATTTTTTTACAACATCACAGAATACAATACAAATTTGCATAACCTGGTTCGCGTCAAAGTGTATTTAGTCGCATATGCTCGGTCAACTTTAGCGTAATTCATAAAAAATTAATTTGAACAATCGTTATCTTAGCTTTCATTCCGGCAAACATTAAAAACATCATCTAAACACCAGTAAAGTTGCCTTGATTCTAGCCTTATTCCCAGCGGAAAAGAACGTTTGTGGAAGTTTATGAATAAATAATCTGTATTTAAAATGTAAATAGTGATCAGGTTGAGTGGAATATTCAATGCGGAATCAGAATGGCAAGGAATACGTGAGCATGTGAGGGTGAAAAGGATTTTCTGGCATCAAAGTATTCATAGAAATTATTTTTATACATGAAATCAATGCATGAACTGTCATATTAAATTGTAAATTGAACTATTACTAGACATCTGCTTTGCTCTCATTAGTTCAAAATATTGAACTTGCACCAGTGCTTTTATGTGGTCATTTTTTCAACTTTAATGTAAATTTTTAAATATTTTAAATATAGTAGTCAACGTACACAGTTATTGTGCACAACAATCCGCAGTTCTTTTTGCTTGCTCGTCTCATTTCAAGCCGTTTTATATTTGATAACTAATCGTTCCACAACATTCGTCACAGTAGAGAAAGACAGTAGAGAAAGTAGAGTATTCGTCACAATAGAGAAAGTATTCGTCTTTACAGTTGGTCTTTGTTCGTTATTCATGATGCTGTTAAGGATGTCAAATCAAGACGTGGGTCTGGTACGTAGATGTTAAAAAGTCAAATATTTTAATACGTCAATAGTCAGCGTTCAAAAGATCATGCCAACGATCGCACTGTTCACAGGCAGTTAGGAATCCTCCAGGACATCTCTGTCAGTTCGCTACACTTGTTAAACTTTGTCAGTAGACAGTCCTTGGTCAACTTGTCAGTTGGCAGTGCTTCGTAAACTTTGTCCCTTTGACAGTCCTTTGTTAACTTTGTCCCGTTGGCATTCCTTTGTCAAATTTGCCAGTTGGCAATCCTTGGTCAAATTTGCCAGTTGTCAGTCCTTGGTCAACTTTGTCAGTTGGCAGTGCCTCGTAAACTTTGTCAAGTTGTAAGCCCTTGTCAACTTTGTCCCGTTAGCAGTTCTTTGTCAACTTTGTCAGTTGGGAGTCCTTGGCCAACTTTGTCAATTGGCAGCCCTTGGTCAACTTTGTCAGTTGGCAGTCCTCTGTTAACTTTGTCGCGTTGGCAGTCCTTGGTCAACTTCGTCAGTCTGCAGTCAGTTGTGGACCTATTGTTCCACAGTCAACTTTGCCAGTTGTTCATTAGGTTTCATCGTCTCACGTCAGCTGTCTGCAAAAAAAATGGATCATTATTCCATTTTTGTTGTAGAATTAATCCCCCTTATCAGCGATCAAGAATGTTAAAATGGAACAATAAAGACCATGTATCCTATCAAAACATGTCCATGCCATTCAATTTTGATCCGATCGAGTGAAAAAGGATATACAGGAGAAAAACGATTATTTGAAGAATTGATCATTAGCAAAATTATAATACAGTAATATGTAATAATGAAAAGAAAAATGTTTGTTTTATGGGCTGTTTAGAAAATGCAAACTCCTCTTAAAAATAGAATTTTAAGAATATTGGCACATTCACTTCCAAAAAAATAAAAGTAATGATTTGATGCATCCTAATTGAGACGATAAAATTTCCGATAATTCCGAGGTACCACGTAGAAAATTAAATAGCAAAGAATCATTCTTTCGAAAACATTTTTTCGCTTTCATTCAAACTTAGAAAATGCAAGTAAAATGATTTTTATAAAACTTCCCAGGCGAGATGAGAACGTTTTAACAACATTAAATTCCAGGCATCCTCCTCTGTAGTTTGCATGGCGTACGCCTAATATGCATGCATGCGTAACGCGGGAAAGATCCTACTGGATGCATTTAATTCTCTAAAAGAAAAAAATTATTAAATACTGGTATACTTTATCTAATGCAAGTGAAAAGTAAAGCAATATCGCAATATCGTTAGCAAGAAAATGCATCAGAATAATAGGCTGGATTACCTCAGAAGACATGGCTATCCATGAGCGTTGTTGTCAGACATGGCAAAGACTTGGGTCAGGACAAAGGATCTAATATCTGCCACGTCACGCTAACGGCTCCACGAACCTTACAAAACTCGTAAAAGAGACAAACGAATGTCCAAACCTTCGTTTATCAAATCTTTGAACTGCGTCTCTTTTTAATGTATCGCATCAATCATCAATTGATGCATGCCTGTTTAGTTGCTGTTTAATAGTATGTAAACTTCACGTTTTTCGATGTGAATTGATTTAGTATGAATTGATTGATATAAAATAGCCAATGTCTGATGTAAATTCCAAGTAAAATTTAAGAATGTAAAACTAAAACTAAGCATGTTTTGCAGAATTATCAATCATTTACAGAACTTACTAATTATTGAAAAGAATATATTTCCCTGTCATTTATGTCATTTGCTTCATTAATCGTAAATGGCGATATTTATAGGAATTAAAATTTTGTAAGAATACCATTCACTCATCTTACTTGTTCACGATCAACTCACAGCCTGCGTAATTTGGTAAATTTATGCCTATTTGGTTAATGAATATTATTATTAACGATGCAGCAATCATTCGTACTGGTTAACATGCTTGTTCTTTTATTCATAGTCTTATTCCTTGATTCCTCCGACTTTCACCCTATACATTGACCATTGATATTGCCAACTTATATTTAGTTCGGCAATATACTTGCCTTAATGACTTAGTTTAAATTGTTGGAATTCCCGCACGACGTAGAGAATTACTTTGAATAAAGTCAGTCATTTGCATCACAAAGTCAGTCATTTGCATAATTATTCAGTCATTTGCATCCCAAAATCTTCAACGAATATCAGTTGAATATATTACAGTACAGTTTCCTCTGTGTCACAGATCGAGGTTTTCAAGCACCAAGCTAAATGCTGTTAAAGAATTAAAATTCACGTACAGTTTATTTGCATAACTTTATGCAGAATCTTTTTCGCGATCTCCACTTGGTAAAAGCCTTAACTTTGAAATGTCTTAAATATCAATTTACAGCATCTGTATCAGTACACTGCATCTGTGTCGTTGTGTCACTTTATGCCACATTTTCCAACCACTATTTCACCTGGAGAATTAAGTATTCCATGGCACACAGAAACTATCTTCAGCCTCTTGTAAGAAGATTCGCCAGTCTATAGCGGTCCGTCACTTGTGCTGGACGTCTCATCTGTGCTTCGCGATTTCGTGTGGTGACGCTCTTGTCCAGTGTGGCCCTGCTTGAAGTTACTGTGGACTTCAGTTGATGCTTCATCTCCACTAGACTCATCCCCCGTCATCCTCCTGCCTTGGACGTGAGACGTGGACCGCTGGCCGTGCCCATTCTTTGATGCAAACACGTGGACTTCAGACGACAGCATGTGGTGCTGTGATCTCTTGAGCTATGACATTCGTCATACATTTTTGATGCGACGCACATCGCATATTTCATCGCTCAATAAACTATCCTTCTACCAATCCAATTTTTAATCCCTAATAAGTTTTTCAAGAAATGCAGAAGGACAATGTGAGTGCTACATCGATGCACTTCCTTAAACCCGCTTCTTCTATGTAAATTATAATGACAGTGCGCCGCAAATTTAACTTAGCCGGCGGTATTCCAAGGAAAAGGGGCATTGTCCTGCAGCGGCCATCTATGTATGAGAAATCATCAGGTATAGAGCAGTAGTGCTTCTGTAATCAGCTGAAACACGGTTAAATAGTTTCTAAATAGAAAATTTTTCCCTAATACAATACATTATATGTTTTGATTGATAAAAATTGCGATAGAAGATGAACCGACTGTTTTTAAATGAGGCTACATAAGAGATCTACTTGCTCTCGAAAAATGACTGCAAATGAGTTCACCTTTTTTTACAGACTTCGAAGAATTTATATTATTCCCGAAAAAGTCTGCAAAATAGCTCATTCTGCTTTTCAAAAAAGTTCACTTAACTAGCTAAAAGAGTTTATCTTACTAGCGAAAAGGGTTTATCTTACTTGCCGAAAGGGTTAACTTACTAGCCAAAAGGGTTTATCTTGCTAGCCAAAAGGGTTTACTTACTAGCCAAAAGGGTTTATCTTACAAGCCGAAAGGGTTTACTTACTAGCCAAAAGGGTTTATCTTACTAGCCAAAAGGGTTTATCGTACTAGCCAAAAGGATTTACTTACTAGCCAAAAGGGTTTACTTACTAGCCAAAAGAGTTTATCTTGCTAGCCAAAAGGGTTTGTCTTACTAGCCAAAAGGGTTTACTTACTAGCCAAAAGGGTTTATCTTACAAGCCAAAAGGGTTTACTTACTAGCCAAAAGGGTTTATCTTACTAGCCAAAAGAGTTTATCTTACTAGCCAAAAGGGTTCATCTTACTAACCAAAAGGGTTTAAGCCAAAAGGGTTTATCTTACTAGCACGAAGGGTTTATCTTACTAGCTAAAAGGCTCTATCTTAAAGTCAAATGAAATCATCTTACTCTCTTAAAGAGTCCACAAAAATCCATCTTACTCTCCAGAAGCTTTGGCTACAACTCTTGATCATCGTCCTGTGCGACCTGGGCACTTCTGTTGAATTACACCAAACCGCGAAAACATTTCTGGCTGCCTTACCTCGCTCTATATTGTGGCTAAGATCCAGCATGACTTCGAATGATCTCACACCATCTAACCGGTCCCTGAGCCTGTCGTGCGAATCGTCGTGAATAAATTCGATCAGTCGCGTACATTTATTGGCCTGCACCAAACCGCGAGAACATTTCTGTCTGCCTTACCTCGCTCTGTTCCCCTTGAAGATGACGCGCGTCCGCGCAGTTACAGCGCTGGTTTCTCTTCATCGTCGCCGCTGTACTTCTGGTAAGCGGAGTACAGGGCGTTCATGATCGGCGACATCACCTCCAGGGACCTGAGGGGTGAAGTATATCTTGGAGCGACTTTTAAAACTATTGATATAGTCGTAGGAATATAATTTTGACACATTACATTTTTCGTATGTCATGGATGTTTTATGTATTAGAGTATATATTGTTATGAAGTGAAGCATTATTAGGATTCACAGAATAGGTCGCCTCAGCAAATAACAAATAAAAATGCTTTCAATTAGCGAATATGATAGATGATAAAATGAAATGTTTATTTGCCTCACGAGAAATAGGAATTTACAAACCTTTATTAACTACGTTTGGAAAGCTGTCTGAAGATCGTCTGATTTTTTATCAGTTGATAACTTATTAATTAAAATAGCTAATTACGTTTTTCACCATTTTGATCACCTCTTGGCGTAGCTGCTGTACGAGGAACTGCCGCCCGATGCTTCGTAACCTCCACCACCATAGCCACCACCGCCGCCGCCGCCGTAACCGCCACCCGTGCCGTGATAATCATCACTAGGGATGAAAATATAATCCACGTCGCTGTAACCTGACTTGTACTTGGCGGGCCACCAAAGTGCAATTAAGGGGATAGCAATGGCGGCAGCGATGGCAGGAGCTAAAAGGCAGATTTTTGCCGAATTTTTAACAGTTGGTGAACTGTTTGCAGGAGGCAAGAATTTTTGAATTTTATTTACAATTTTGGTAATCAAATTAGGGAACTTAGGAGTGATGCATTTACCTCCTATGATTATACAAGTATCATTAACTTGAATGGAGCGCTCATTTCTCCATAATGATTCACTGGTATTTGCTGTACTGACGGGAGCGATGTTCGCGGCGTCCGCGGTGTCATCTGAAATGCTGACGGGCTGCAATGCTGACGCAGCTGACAACATTATGAAGAGCGTTATCAGAAAGCTCAGGAATCTGGTCCACATTGTGCTGGAGTTGGAAGACATCTACAAATATCTGAAAGAAAACACGACACTAAATTGATTCAAACTGGGTTGCCAGTGACGGATTTTAATTGGATCTTGCATTATTCGGCCAACGCCGGTCAGTGTTTTGTTATTTTCCCACAGTTATTTTCCGCGCTGGTGCCACAGAAATTAAAAGTTTCCGTTTAGTGGAATCAGTTTTTTATGAGAAAGAGGAAAAAGTGAGTTGTTCGGGTAAATTAAATTGGGATTCGAATAATGTCGTGTATACATTAGATGACAATTTATAGCTTTACACGGTGAACCGTGCGTCCACGATTATGAAAAACTTAAATTCATTGAAAAATTTTCTGCATCTGAGTTGTGGCATTCGTCCTTTCAAAATTTGCGTAATTAATTTTGTGTACTCGATAGAAAATTTTCGAAATCACAAATTATAGAGGATTAAAAAATTACATCTTTTAAAAGTGGTCAAAATTATGGACATTATTATTTTCAGAAATCGTATTCTGTGGCGAATTTCGTCGATTTTGAAATTATGCACCATAATTTAAAATAAGAAGAGAATCGCAAAAATAACTTTGAATGCATGTGCTATGTTTATGGTAACTACGAATCTACCCAGTTTTTTTTTTTTTTTGTTTTGTTACCTTAGCTTCATCTGATGTCCTGTTTTTAAGGACTCATTTTTATAAAATATATTAATTAAAACAGTTTAGTTTGTGGGTAAATCCTACAGCAATAATTTAATTATTAGGTTAGTAACGAACGCTACACTTCTAAAAGATCCAAATAGTTTTTAAGTGTTGACGTGATGTGATATATGATGGAATTGTAACCTAGTTCACTATAAATTTCTTATATTTCGAAATTTATTTCAGCTGTTTGTTTATCTCTTTCTGATTATTAAATCGAATTATGAGACACAGCACAACTCTAACGGTATTCAGAAAATTACAATTGCATAAAAAAGAAAATAACATCAAATTTTTAACAAGGTTTGGACGGAACATTTTCTCTAAATCTGGGTTCAAAACGGTCTTCTTCTGATTAAAATTACTTTAAATTGAAAATTATTAGTATTGAGATATTGGGATTTGTAATACTTAATTATTAGCTATACCGAGTAGCACCTGGTTAATGTCAGTCAAATTACATTTCCGAAAGTATGTTAATGTGTTTAAATTATGAGTATAACAATTGCCACATATTTAAATACGGGATATATGTGCCCGCGTATCCGCATAATTCCCATCTGTTCGAGATGATATATGGTATCAGATTTTAGCCTTAGTGGTGGAAACTTGGTAGATAGGAATTGGAGATAAATTGAAATATTCAAATTTGATATTAATCTCAACTCAAAAAATGAAAATTTAATCTAAATAATAAATTTGTGTTCCCTAGGGTTAGGTTGGACCCGAATCACCTAATACTAGTAATTTGTGCAATCTTTGGGAGCACATAGAATTTTAATTGTCTACTCACCCTATACAACATTTTACGATATAAAAATTATAATTAGGTATAATATATGTCAACTCAGAATGAACCAGTATCCCTGGATGATGGTTATGGACAGCATTTTCATGATTTGGAAATCAGGAAACTAATTTCCTGGACGTAGTATCAATAATAGCATCGAGTTAATAATCGCCAATCGTAATCGTTCGAAGCCAATAACCGATTGTTTTTTTTTTTGCTAAACCCTCCAATCAGAGACGAGAAATAAAACGCTACGCATATTTAGGCCGCTATGTGTAGATCAGATACTTTTAATAGTACGGGCACGGCCAACAATATGCAAACTACATTTTGAAATACTTCACCGTCTGGGCCATAGAAATGTTTCGTGTCACGCTTTTATTTGTTGCTGAAAACCTCCATCAAATTTTGGGGACTCGTTTTATGTTGAATTCACGATATTTACTTCATAACCAGAATTAATATAGGCGCTGCTGAAGTTTTGTTTCTTCTTGAAGTGTATTGACTTCAATTAAATTAGTCATTACAACATTATTGATCAGAGCATACCTCATAAAAAAAATTGGTAACATCAGATAAATTTTATATTTAATTTATGTTGACCGAATAATTTTTCTAGTGGAATGTTTTTTTTGATCATTTTTCTATTATAATGTTTTTTAGAAACGAATTAATTGAAATATGAATTAATGGAAATTTAAATGAACTTTTGGATTCTTCTGCCTAGCTATAAATTCTGTTAAAAAGAAGAATTTTTCGCACTGAACTTTTTATAAGCATACGAATATTTTAAACCTTTCAAAGACGAAGTATGAAGTCACACTCAGAAATTATGCTTTTTCCCTGAAAATTGAGTCACAATCATCAGATATACGCCATTATATTCAATGAAATTGACGTTCATAAATTTTAACTAGTTGATTGACTTTAATTTTTAGTTTAAATTTATTTAAATCAAATTACTGACTTTAATTTTTAACACTTTTAATTAACTTGTATAACTTATAACAATTTTCTCAACGGTTGAAGACATCATTACATGTATTTCATTTGTTACGATAGTCATATAACTTCTGGCAGACTGCATCTAATGGTATTTGAGAAAACAAGAGACGTCAAGAAGAGACTTTAGTTCCAGAACGAACATTTTTTCAAGCTTTGGCCTAGCAATTTGGTTCAAATGTTTTTTATAAAAATTTTGTACCAATCTGTTAATTTTAAACAAAAATATTATTGTAAAATTACAACTCCTGTTGAATATAATCCATTTGAGTTTTAAGCTGAAGTCAAGGGAAATGTGGCGGATGGGCTGAAAATGAACTATTATTAGTGAAAAATTACTTTAAATTCATTTAGTAAATTTACCTGAATGACTGGTCTTACAATTACACGAAAATCATCAGGACAAATGACGACTTTCTCTATGAGATAAAATTCTATCCTAATAAGGACAAACCAAAATTCAATCCAGACTCGGATTATTCAGAATTTGTTATTAACCAAAAGCCTTTTTATACTAATGCTCCCTCTGATCATATTTTCCAATTAGAGTTTTCTTTTGCCTATTCATAACTTTCTTCTGCTTTCTTCATTTCAATTGTAAACATTCCATATTCCTTATATTTATTTTTAGTGAATTTCGATAGCAATTTTTGATCATTAAAGCCAAGAATCATAGTATTATTAATTACAATATATCTATTTCAAGTCATTAGTAAACTCATGAACTTCGTTCTCGAGCTTTGACACTTTTTCCCGACTAAAATTTGTCATCCTGACGAATCAGAAGAACTACCGAGTTTTGCATGCATTGCTATTGATCAGAATAACAACTTAAGCTTCCTCTCTAAGAATACCACCCGCAGATCCATTACTTTAATTAATTATGAACTCATAACTAACAGGAATATTTATTAACAATTTACATCTGCCCCCGCGTTTCTGCTCGGACCACAGCTAGACGTTCACTGCTCGCGTGCGGATGAGATAATTAGGGGTCACCCGGGACTGCGGGCCGTTTTATAGCCCCACGCGTGACTTGACATGGCGCCGTGCCCAGTGTTTACTTAACTAAGGTATACAGACTGCCCTTGTTTACCTTACTAAGATGTAAAACATGAAGTCTTTTACTTAACTAAGGTATACAGACTGCCCTTGTTTACCTTACTAAGATGTAAAGTATGTAGTCTTTTACTTAACTAAGGTGTACAGACTGCCCTTGTTTACCTTACTAGGATGTAAAGTATGTAGTCTTTACGGAACAAAGGTGTACAGACTGCCCTTGTTTATCTCACTAAGATGTAAAGCACGCAGTCTTTTACTTAACTAAGGGGGACAGTCTGCCTTTGTTTACTCTTCTAAGGTGTTCACTTCTACAGCCTTCCTTTATGTACTGAACTATATAAGGTGTACTGCCTGCATGTGCTTACTTAACCATGATGTACGTAAAGCCTGCGCTTGCTACTAAAGTTAGGTGTACCTGCAGTCGGCACTTGTTATATTATCGGAATGATTATGACACATGGATATTATAAAATTTAACTGCTGACACGAATAATGCCTTCCAGGAAATAAAATATGGTTTAAAAATTTGACTACACCAAACGAGCGATAGAGAGTAGAATTTGAAAAGTAGTTTCAGAGAACGGTTTTGAGCAAAATTATATTTTATTTAGTATTTTTGTATGTATAGGATTTTAAGCGTCGTAAAACTAAGTTAGCGTGACGGAAGGCATCCTGTCCCATGGGCGACAATCGTTCGTCCGTTCCGCACATGGTGGAACGGTCTTGACCGTGTGTGACCGTGCGTGACCGTGCGTGATAACGTAACCGTGTGTGAAATATTAATGAACTTGAGCCGCTTATGTATCTAATTTCCTGCATGAATAAAGCACTGCCAGTTCACAGGCCGTTAAAATTATATCATTCATTGAGATATTGATTCTCAACAGCCGGTCAATAGATATCTCTAAACGACGCAATGTGCACCTTTCGGTTGTCCAAAAACTATCGACGAGATATTTAATCTGAAAAACCCGCTTTCCGCCCATATCACACTCGAAACCAGTTCAAGTGTAACTACCTATGTACTTTGTATTTAAATTTGCAAAACAAACGAAAATTTACAAGTCTTTAGGAACGAAATGTTATCAATTCATATAAAAGCATTTTCACGTTATGGTGTAAATTAAATATTTCTCATGTCTGATTCACACAGCAATTCTAACCGTGTAAATTTGCCATATCCGTGAATGATCACGATGAAAGTAGACTGATTAAGAGTTCACTTTCGTGACTCCAGCTTTTATAGATAAGTTGACACGGACACAATACAACCTACACAATTGAGTCATTGTGATGGAGCTGCGCGCGGCTGACAGCGACGATGTCATGCCGGGTGGTCAGACGCGCGGCTTTCTATGCACACAAGACGAGTCAACACGAACACAGGCTCTCTACATCTGCTGGATGTCTGAGGAGACTTCTGACCACGAGATAAAAGAACATGCTATGTAAATGAGCAGAGAAAAGGAGCAAAGAACCTAA